ATTAGAATTAGCGTATCGCCTGTGGCGAACCTAATATGGTACTCAAACGACGGTCATACAGCCGGTCAAACCGACTGCATTCCAGTCGGTTCAAGGATCCGCAGCTGGGTTCATGATAGCAGATGACTGCGTGATGCCGAGATTGGTCACGCCCACGGATTTAATTACGTTCTCCTTCGTACGCGCTTGGAAACTTACTCCTCACCCGCGCCCAGGATTCCACATTCTAGACGTCTCAATCTCGTCAAAATCTGACAACCCGGCACCGCCGGGGCCCTGAGTAAAAAAATTCAGTCCTTTTTACGACCGAAACCGACGGAGAAGACAGTAGACAATGGTAATCATTGAAAACATCAGTCTATAGGGCAACTGCGAAAATTCTTGGATACCCCCAGCAACGCCGTAGTGATTGGATCAACGGAAGAACCCTGCAACTGTCTGCTGAGACAACTCGATCCAGGTACCCTGGTGATCATTCTTTCCGCTAACTCGGAAAGATGACGATAAAATCGGCTAAGGAGAGGAGGAAAAATACTGGACTGAAAATAGCGACCTCTATGGGGGAGGCCTCAAACATTGGAGACACTCGAAAACTCTACCAAATTATCCGCAAAGTTAGTGGCAATCTCTTTTCACTGAGTGACTCTGTTCGTGGTGTGAATGGCAGCTTTATTGCTGACAACTCGGCCAGGGTCGAGCGCTGGCGTGAACATTTCGAGCACCTTGTCAACTTCTATACCGAAGGCAGCACCCCCTCTTCCCCATCTGCAGCGGAGTCTCTTCCCTCTCTTGCCTATCCAGTGTCCTGTGACAAACCTTCTGAAGGACAAGTCGCCGACGCCATAGAAAGGCTTCGCAAAAATAAGGCATCATGAGAGGGCGGTATGTAAACTGAAACCTACAAGTCTTGTTTTGACACTCTGGCGCTCAGACTCCATGAGGTGATTGGACAAGCGTAGAGAGGCGAGGCAGTCCCTGTTGACTGGGGCTCAGGCATTCTTGTACCTGTCCACGAGAAGAGAGATGACAAGAGATGCAAGAACTACTGCGGCGTAAGTCTTATCGACATGGCTGCGAAAGTCTTCAGTAGTGTCCGCTTCAGACGATTCCAGGCTTTGTCCAACCAAGCCGGATTCCGCGCTGGACGTGGATTTGCAGATCAGATATTCACACTGAAAAGCATCCTTAAATTCCACTATAGCTACAGACAACCAACAGCCGTCTGCTTTGATGCCTTTGTCGCCGCGTTAGATTCCGTCCATCGTGAATCCCTATGGCGGATAATGGCGTCAAACGGTTTACCACCAAAATTCATCGTCATGATCAAGGCCTACTACTGCTCCACCACCGCGCGGGTTGCGATCCATAACAATCTTTCAGAACAGTTTGCTATTGAGTCTGTTATTCGACAAGGCCGTGTCCTGCCACCCATTTTGTTCAACTCCGCCATTAACTGCATTCTCGGAAAGGCTCTACATAAGACGACGGTGTTGAGAATGCACCCGGACGCAGGCTGACTGATCTCGACTACGCCGATGATATCACCTACTAGCTTCAAGCTTAGGTGATCGGCAGTCTAGGATGTCATAGGTGGCCGAGATCGCTATACCGGTCGATTTGTCTATAAACGCTAGGAAGACCAAGGTTTTTTCATGCCGCATTCCTGCCCGAAAGAAGGTCCCTCTCTCTCGGGCAGCCAACTTACTGTATCCGCATTGGTAGATTCCATACGTGTAGTAGGCTGGGCGGGTAAATCGACTTAATTGCTTTTAAATTCACGGCCCTCGGCGTGCCTTAGTAGCTCAATTGGTAGAGCGTTGACTATATTGGAGTCTTCCCTGCTGGTGTGGGTTCTAATCCCACTGAGGCCACGAATTTTTACAATTGGGTTAATTGACTTATCCAAATCTGCCAACCCTCTCGTAATAATGCAGTAATGGGTGAACAAGTCAATGCTCTAAAATTACCCGATAGAGTAACCACTGACAGCTTTGTGTAAATTTAGGGATGGGCTACACTGGTAATTGTTGGATGGCTAGTCAGAGGTACAAAATAAAAATAACTATTGCCCAGCTGATAAAAAAGGATCAGAAACTGTTCCTCTCAAAACTGTTAGACTCTACATTGGAAAGTTACCCCCCATTCAAGTGAAAAGTCCGAAATGAAGTAGTAGGCATAGGAACTCATTAAATTAATTTTGGCCGTATTTTATTCAGTCGCTTGATTGTGAAGTGCAAGGCTCTACAAAGTGCAAAAATACACGCAGAACGCGAAAACTGTAGAACTGACCTGCGTTGAAAGTAATTCACATTTTACAATGAGACGATCGATTAACAGGAGTAGGTTGATGGCATCGTGATCACCGGCACGGCGGTCAAAAGATTCAGGCAAGAAGGCAGACAGCAATTCTACGTGACGGACGCCCTGGTCAACGTCCAGACGTCTTAGTTCAGTCTCAATAACCTGCGAAAAGTCAAAGGGACTGTGACAACAAAAATGCACTTGGCAGTGTTTCAGCCAAAAGGAAAGGTGTGAGCAAAGTAACCGGTTAGACTTTTGGACTGTCATAAATAAATAAAATTGAAAGGAAAGTAGACAAGGGGAGGCACAGCGAAGGATGGGAAGAAGGAGAGAACAGACCTTCGCCACAGTTTGTGCCTCTGGCTGGCGACCACCTGGTCTGCCAGATAGCTGCATGAGCGCACTGGCAGCATCGGCAGAGATTGATGGATCGACGGCTGCGGCCATCGATACAAGGCTGGCCTGGCTGGCCGTTCGACGAGCATCGGCTAGAGACTGTGCTAAATTGGTATTCTGGTTCTGTAGATCGGTAACCAGTTCGCGGAACTTCGACAGGGTGAGTTCGTAGTCAGCCACCGTCTCTTTGCTTGCTTCGTGGTGGCGCAAAAGCTCCTGCACCTGTGCTCTTGCCAACTCCACCTGCTCGCGCAACTCCAATTCTGTGTCGCGTTGGCCTTCGAGCAACTCATTGTTCATATCACAGAGAGCTTCCTACAGTTCGTAAATGAGTTTTGAGAGGCGGAGAGCGACATTGGTATTATTAAACACGTTTATGCAAAAGCATGTGATCAGGGTACGGTCAGAACACATCTTTATCAACAAGCTGTCTCTAAATACGTTTTATCCCTATGTAACATGCGTTTTTTGCCCTATTAAGTCAAATATAAATTGGACTTAAAAAAGGGAAATGGTTGACAAAAATGCAGCTAAAGGCCTGAGATTTCAGCTCTCGACCTACGGTTGTACTCGAAAGCAACTATTTAGGTAGGAGGTGGCCGCAAACAAATACAGGGCGGTCAATCGCCCGACGTGTCGAAACCACATCGTACGGGATTTTGATTAAAGGCGTTGCATTAACTTCTGGTAAATATGAAATTCAATAGTTGCTATATCCAAAAGCAAATCCTAGTAAGCCGCAGTACAAAGAGTTTGCTGCTGCTGTTGTTGCGGGGTGGGGATGTCCAGTAATTCTGACACACACAGAAGCAGGAAAATCTGGCATTAGGACACGTCTGAACCACATCTAACGGTATGTAAAAGACCGCTTTCTGTATATTATCAGCATTTATTTTTGAGGTCTACACCCCAAAAATGTTGACATCTAATAGGGACATGGAGCACACAATTGCGACCGCCAGTGTAAACGGTTCGTATAAATAGACTAAACTTTGGCCAGGTTACCTAGAGCGATTTCATCACCACAATAAACATACTTGTCAGCGAGATCCCTGTAGCAGAGGTCGATACGCTTGTCGAAGCCTGTTATGTTAAAAACAGACGAGCCACGATCTGAAAAGCCCAGCTCGTAGATACAGGTAGTGTCCATGTTGTACTATGACAAGGCCCACACGATCGTGCTGTGAATCGTCTAAGCAAAAGAACTGTCTCACAGTTCACAATCAACGCCTAACTGGCATAGTGGTCATCCGAGTCATAGACGAAAGTCAACTTGAAGAACCTCCAGCACAGAGGTTTGGAGAGTTCATGCAGATTGAGCTGCTTATCCCTCAACTGGGAAGTCAGGCCGATGAACGGGCAATAGGACAACAGAAAAAGGAAGAACCTACTTGCTGGTAGTTCATCCCTTCCATGTTTTAGGCAACATTACACAAATACACTCCATGTCTCAGACATCAATCCTCCACATCCAGCTAACAATAGTATCAACAATCCATGACTGCTTATTTTTCAGGTCCAGAAGGCAGCTGGAGGCTGTTGCACGACTTGCCACGAGTAGCATACCGAGTAGCCAACAGACAGGCGAACAGACGGGCTTCGTCTCCGCGCAGTTCCTGCTTGATTATTTCATTATTTCATAATTTGTCTTAACTATTACGCTACATACAAGAACCCCGTCTGATTAGAGAGTGTGTCTCGAAGCTCAAGAAACAGACGCAGGAAATTTATGCATACTTTTCGGTTGAAAAGATAGCGTAAGTGAAATTTAAACACTGCTTATACTGAAATATGATGCCCAAACGGCTCGATGCCGTATTTGGAGAAAAATACTTATGAAGTGGATCCGACAAAGCAAAGGGAAACCAGAATGGCCAGTTCTGGCTTATTAGCCATCATCAGCCAGTCCCTTTGCTTTGTCGGATCCACTTCATCACATCATCTTAATCACTATGTGAAGGT